ACACACACACACACACACACACACACAAACACATGCGCAGGGTTTCGAAGCTTTTTTTTTTTTTCTTTTTCTTTTTTCTGTTTTTATTTTTTGTTATGTAATAGAAAACAACAATGCCAAAAAAATATGGGCGTGTAGGGTTTTTTTAGCCCTACACGCCCATATTTTGGCTGGTCGGCCGAGGCCGAACCTGGCCGATTCGGCTGTCGGCCGAGGCCGCGGCCGATTTCCCCCCCCCCGGGCACGGCCGGGCGCGCAACATAGCCTACATCTGGAAATCCAACAAAATGTAAATAGATCAACCAAAAAATCTCAAAATCTGTTCGTAAGCATTCCAAATTAAACCACCACTACCTTTCCCACGTATCCGCCGCGGGCAGTTTTAGAGGCCTGAAACGAAAAATGGGCCGCCCATTAAATTTATCAACAGCGGCGCTTTCCTGCCTGGCTTCCGAATATACCGGCAGGACTTCTACTTTCAAGCGGGGAACGGTACTGGTGCTTTAAACCACCAGGGTACCTTTCCCAGCTATTTTGCGATGACGCGCCAGGCAACGCGGAAGAGGCCGACGGGGTTCGGTGCTATCGGACTGAAATGGCTGGCGGCGTTAGCCAAAATGAGGCCCAGGACGGTTCATTTTTTTTCGTCGCGCAGGGCGATTTTGGGCTCGGCCGCATCGATAGCTGAGAAAGGTACTGCCGGTTTAGTTGCAAAAATGGGTATGAAATAGTAAAATAAAGACTGAATTTATGAAATGGAATTTTGAAAGAAAACACACTTTTCATTTCCAGGAAATCAACCACCAAGATTGGGGAATATTTCGCTCCTGCCAAAAGTCACCTGGCAACATTTTCACACCACGCGACCACATAACTTTTTCACACCACGTGACCACATAACTTTTTCACACGTGACCACATAACTTTTTCCCACCACGTGACTATATTTTTGCTTCTGCTAGAAGCTGGATTTTTTTGAGTGAACTGGAGAAACATACATATTACACAACACGCGACCACATAACTTTTTCTCCTTAAAAAAAAAAAAAAATGCAGCTGGGACCACCACCATGAGGGGATCATGCTATGAGAATCTCCTCATTGTAGCCCTTCCGGTCGTTGCCCCAGTCTAGTAGTGGGGGTCATCACCTGCTGGAAACCGGGTCCAGCGTCCCTTTCATATTTTATGTACACGACAGAACTTGATCATCTAGTCAGCAACCGACCCGCCTGGCCGAGTTGAAACACCCCGGCAAGCGGTTGAAATACATACGTTAGTTTGAATCCCGATGAACAGGAATTTCTGAATTACCTGGGGGCCGGTCAGTCAGTTTCACAATGACATCTCAAGGCTGTCGCCCTTTTGAAAAAAAGAGGAGGATAAGCTCAGTATCAGCAAAGCTGATAATTCACATGTGAAAAGCCGTTGGTAATGTGCAAACTCGGTGGGCCGAAGGAATTTTTGGTTTCTCCTTCTCTGATTTCATTTATTCGTAGAGTGATCAAAATCTGCGAAACCCGCAAAACCCGCATTACTCTCAAAATCCTATTTGATAATTTTGATTTCGTCAGGACTCGAGGTCAGGTCTGTTTATCAGCAGTTTGTGGGTGCACATTCATTCAGCCACATGGGCTGGGTTCCAACTCCTTTTGGGGAGCGCAGCAAGGGCCGCCAAGCAGAACAATAGATAAACAAAAGTCGCCCACCTGGCTCACCCGGGCTGGAGCCTCCGTGCCCCTGCTACCCGCCAAGGCATGGGCATGCCGCTCCGGGCGGCTGCACAGCCCAGTGTTTAAGTAGTGGATGAAGGTGCTATGGATCTGGCGACCTCCCAATGCAAAACTCACAAAGAGACTGTCATTCAATTGCAACTCAAATGAAAGAAGATAGGAAAAAGAATTAGATAAAGGAAGAATAAGCAACAAGAAGAAGCAGCAACAAGAAGAAGCAGCAACAAGAAGAAGCAGCAACAAGAAGAAGCAGCAACAAGAAGAAGCAACAAGAAGAAGAAGAAGAAGAAGAAGAAAGAATTCATTTGTCTGAAACATGAACTGGAAGAAAAAAGGAAAATTGGAGATGAATTCAATTTTGAGTAGAAAATGTAGAAGTGTTTGGTGAATCAAAGGCAAAGGGAGTAACCTAAAAGGATACCACCCGACTGATTGCAAGAAGACTCAAAATAAATCAGCAGAGCAGCATCAGACCACAGTGACCATACAATTTTTCTTTTTGTAAGAAAAAAAACAAACAAAAAATAAAATAGGAGAAGAAGAAGAAGAAGCATAAAGAAGAAGAAGAAGAAGAAGAAGAAGAAGAAGAAGAAGAGGAAGAAAGAAAAAGCACGAGGAAGAAGAAGAGGGAGAACTGAAACGAGCAAGGCCTATCCCTCAGTGTCAATGCATCAGACAAAAAAAAACAGTATACACCTCCATAGACATACCTGCTCATGAAAACGCACACATTCAGAGCAAAAGGAGGACGTGGAGGAAGAAGAAGAAGAAGAAGAACGCAAGCTGGAACCAATGTCATCTCTCGTTCCTCTCTCGTCGCCCTCCATCTCATCTCCTCCATCATCTTATTAACAATAATTAAACCACCAGTACTTCCTAAAGTTGTGCCCACCCATAAAACAAGCCCCCATTTTAGGAAACGTACGGGCCACTACAGGAGCGCCCAAATTCATCCGACTACAAACGTTTCTACTCCATTTTTCTTTTCCGCGGCCAATAGCTTGGCCAAGTACTGGTGGTTTAACAGCAACAAGGAATGAAAGAGGCAGACTCAGCGTCCAGATACAACCCCCCTTACTGCCAGCCTGATAAATAGCCCTTCTTTCACTTTCTCTCTAAGGACATACTCACACTAGCACTTTCCTTCATGCATCTGACCGCAATTGAAGGCAGATCTGAATGTACCTGACGGCAATCATGTCCCGAGCTCAGTCAAAAAGTCAGTGTGAGTATGCCCTTTCCAAAAAAAAAAAAAAAAAGGAACCCATCATCGACTACATCACCTCCTCTGAGTCCTCGCATACTATCCTTTTTGTGTAGCTTTTTTTTGTGTATCGTATAGGACCTCGCTGCAGTACACAAGACTCTATGCATTCAAAATTTTGGACTCGTCTGAATACACCTGGTCGAGAAAGCGACCAAATGCAGGTAGAGTGTTGTGTAGTGGAGCCAGGCCCATACTCACAGCCAGTTCCTCTTCTCCGCATACCTTGATCAGAGAAGTATGGTGGTGGACTCAAATATTAAGTCCTGTCCATCTCGCGGCGTAAACCCACTCCCATTTATTTTCCACAGTGATCTTTCAGCTTCTTCCCATTTTCATTGATTTTACGCGCAGTGCGGTTTTTTTTTTTCTTCGAGTTTCTGATACATATAAACAAAAACCAATAGTTAAAAAAAAAAAAAAAAAAAAA